AAACAAAATAATATGGGTTTTTTTGTATCACTGTAGATATATATAACTTTGATGGTTTAGATAGTTTTAATACCGAATATACAAACAATTTGAGTACCAAAACTTTGATTTGTGTACACTCATAATGTGTCATTGTTCATGAGCCCATTGCCTTTTTAGATTGATAATGTATAAACAGACTGTATGTTGATATATCATAAAGTAAATATAATGAACAAAAATTGAGTAAACCAAAGAAATGAACATTATTGAACTTATAAATTAATATTATGTTATTTTAAAAGTTTTTAAAAAGTGTTTCGTTAAAATTCATAAGAGAAGAATTACTATTAACTTGCTATAATAAAATTGAAAAATAAATTATATGCAAGAAAGAATGATGATCAATCTATATATGATAAAAAAGACTGTATATGTTGAAGTACCTTTGTATAATTATCAATGTTCAAATGTGTAAATATATTGCTTTTTGTGGACATCATTTTTATGTGGTAACGATACTTTTTTTTATAATATGCTGATAATTTTTCTTCTTTTATTGCCCTTCCTTAGTATTAAAGCTTTACATTATATGCCAATTCATTACATTATATGCTTCTTATTTACATCAAATGCTAATATTTTATATTATATGGCACTTGATTCCACTTCTGATGTTTTCGAGGTCCGTATTTGCTCTGCTTTTATTTTGTATTGTTTAATGAACTCTTGAGTTTGAATACTGCACATTATCTCCATGTATTTCATGCTAACAATTTACATTATATACCAATGTTATAAACATTAAATGCCAATTATTTAAATTATATGCTTGCACTTTACATTATATGCTTATGCTGTATATTATATTTCATTTTATAAAATGCATAAGTAATCATATTTAGAGTACTCTCATAATAATGTCAAAAGTATTAGCTGCAGCTTTCAGCTCGTGTGGAAATATTGCATCTACTGGGAAAACTAGGGTTGCAATATGTTTATCATAAGTCGTCTCTCCAAAATTTGAAGTCGTCAATGATTGAAGGAGAGAAAGAGAGTCAAGACGATGATCGAGTGTGAAAATGTGATATAAATTAGAATCTAGTATGAAAAATATGGCTGATCCCATGCTCTCAGGCAAATTAGAATTTAGGGTACCACTCGACTGTCTATTAAGAAATATGGAGAATACGAGCAGTATTTAAGGTGAAGGTCCATTCAAACAATAAAAATCGGAAGCAGAGCAAAGTAGGACCCCCCCCCACAAAAAAAGTCAGATAAGGGGCCAGGTGCCATGGAGAAGAAAGCATCCCATACAACTACATTGAAATGACATGGACCACTTTCTGTATGATTTTCAGATGGATGTCAGAAAGATTATAAATAACTATTTGTCATTGAACAACGTTTTTTTTTATTTGAATAAAAGTGGGTTTCCAGAAAGAAAAATAACATAGACAATCTTGGAAAAGATATTTGGTAAAGGCCCTGTCACACCAAGCTGCGTTCACACGGAGTCATTACGGCGTTGTGAAATTTTTAAAATCGCCGTGGAATCGCAGGAAAATTGCACAAATTTCTGTAAAATTTTCACAATATAAAGATGTCACGGCGTCCCTACGGCGACGGACGCGATTCTACGGCGAATTCTTCTGCGTTCCCACGGAGATCTCTCGGCGATTGACTGCGCTTCCGCATTTTCACGGCGCGTTGGAGTTTTCACCTCGTGTTCATGGCGTTCTCACTGACGCTGGCTGCGTTCACAATACGTTCACAATGCGTTCTATACTCATTGATATATATTTAGAAGGAATGGAAAACATTCTTGTTTAAAGATTCAAGTTACACGATGAAAAGACTTCTAATCATGCCAAGAAATATTCTTAATGATTAAAAATGTTCTATTTAAATAATTTAGTACTAAATTATTAATAGTTTTTTGATCAAACTCCTTTTTTTCAATTTTATTGGTTCAGATGTGTTGTTAGATTTTCTTTGATATTATTATGAATGTAAAAAAATAAACATACTGAAAAGTTCTCTACAAAATTTAAGTGAAACAACAGAACACGTTCTGGAGTAATTTTCTCTTCCATTTTTTTTCACTTAAATGCTACTAGTGCAACAAATACGTTGGAATTATTGCTGATCAAATATGATCCTATTGCTCTTGTGAGCTGGCTGACAACGCTCTAACAACGCCATGAAAGCGCATTGTGATCGCCAACGGACGCTGTAGAAACGCAATGGGAAAGCAATGATGGCAGTGACAACTCCGTGCTGTCGCCGTGTAATCGCAGTCGAAAAAATCACAAGACGATAAATCTCATTAGAAGCGCCGTAAAAACGCAATAGAAACGCAGTGACATCTCATTCTCCGTGGAACAATACAAGCGTTCGTGCCGCGATCAGTGCGTCTTCACGGCGTTCACGGAGCTCCCACTACGTTGTTGGAGATCTCACCGCGCTGCTAAAATACGTTTCTACTGCGTTCTTATCAGACCGCGATCACACGGCGCGTACTTTGTGCATGCCCAATGTGATCGCATCCCATACAACTACATTGAACTGACATGAAGCACTTTCTGTATGATTTTCAGATGGATGTGACAGAAAGATTATGTTTAAATAACTATTTGTCTTTTTTTCAAACTTTTTTTTTTATTTGAATAAAAACAAACATTTATAGGGTTTCCAAATTTAACAAAAAATAACATAGACAATTTATAAGGAAAAGAGATTTGTGTCATTAAGATTATCTCTCTGATGTTTCAATGGAGGTCTGTGTCTGGTCTACTCCTGATTTGTATCGTTTGAAGGGACTTTTGAGTCTGAATACTGTTGGTTATTTCCATACATTTCATTTAAGATAAAATCAAACTACTTGGGAAAATAAATGTAGTATTTTAAAACACATTCATTCTAAGATTCATTATCACGTCTCTTTTTTTCAAATGCTTACAAACCACATCTGCTGTATTTTTCCCCATTTCGAAACATTGATATGCAATCCGACTTTTTCCAATACATGCATGACTCCAACATAAATTTAATACTTCACCATGATAAAAATTAATTTTATATCGTTACATAAAGCATCACCATGTATTGAGGAAGTATCATCATGTGAAGTCAATGTATAAGCATATGTTAACAAAATAAAAACATAGAATTACATATCATCACACAATGTTAAAGTATCAGAATATAACGAAGAAGTGTCAGCAGAAAAAAGGCTTTTGATATATAATAAGAAAAAATATCACAATGTAATAAAGAAAAGCATCAACATATACTAGTAATCAGCATATTATAAAGAAGTATCAGCAAATATTTAAATACAAACTATCAACATACATTAAAATATACAGTATCAGCATATAATGAAGCATCGTTAAAACATAAAGAAGCTACAGGTGCATGTTTTAACATATATATCAATACAAAGTATCAGCACGTAGACAAACAATCATCATGTATTAAAGAAGTAATAGCAAATGTTTAAGTACAAAGTATCAACATACACGAAAATATACAGTATCAGCATATAACGAAGTATCGTTACAACATGAATGCTATCAAAATGATACTGTTCCACCATGAAACCTCTCCTATTATGATTTCAAAGCGGCCTAAAGCAATAATAATAGTAAAAGAAGACTAAACCAATTATTTATCTAACAAAAACTGGTGGACATCATAAATAGCCTAGCCCTACATTCAGGTAATTGAATATGTATTTATTGAAGTTATCATAACACGTGTATCAATCGGATTATTTACAGGTATTCTCTTAAAGCAACAAAAACTCATACATTGCCCCGCCCACCCACCCTCACAAGTATCATGTTTGTTTTATTAATTATATGTTTTGTTTTGTAGATTGGATGAGTTGTCAAGGAGGAAAGTTGGAAATGTATATTTTGTGTATAATATTAAACTGCACTTACGAGAGCGCTTCTGTACCTACCTATATACGTGTTGTTATTTATTTTATAAATTATTTATGTTCGTTTGAGTGGAAACGAATAAGAACATAAATATGGTAAACTGTTAACAAGATTGTTTCTTTATTTAGCAATCTTAGATTGAAATTGTAGTTTCAATGAAGGGCAGAAGAATTACATGACAGTTTAGAAGAAAAGAAACGTTCATACAAACTAATATCTCTGTTTACGTAATTTTTTTTTCTTTGCATAAAATCTGAAAAAAATCTTTAAACGTAAGTAAATTTGAATGGGATACTTTATCAAATCAGTATGTTCTATGCAAAGGGAAACAATCGCTAATACCGGTATATAACAGTTGTATATATATATATATACTGTAACTTTAAAAGATTTGCTTTAAAAATCTAAATCTGCCAGTTAAACGAAATTCAATAAAACTTAATGTACTATTATTAATAAATGAAAGAACTGAATATGATAAAATCTATTACTGAACCCCAGATATCATAATTATTTCAGTCCTTTATACTTTCAAGAAAGAGTAAGAGCATGAATTTTCAAATACACTGGACCTGTTTTCACTTAAAAAACAATATTGCAAGCTGAATAGAAGATTGAAAAAAAAGTTATACTGTATAACATTACAATCAACGTAAGCTACAATAAATGGGGAAAAAATTTACTCAGTAGTCCATTAGAAAGATACGAGGAAATGTACCATTTTGATACTTTGTGTTCTAATGCTGTTGTTTCATATTTGTTATTTTTTGAAATACATTTTCTTTATGACATGCCAATATCTAGATCTAAAATGTTAGTTAGTAGCAAATAATATAATGAATAGTCACATTTGAATTTGATAGGATTTGACATGCACAATTTTTATGTTGAATTGAAATGTTTTTCTCTTTGGTTTAATATCAATGCATTTGAGTGAATCATCCATGTCTGTAAAATTTAAACAGCATGATTTGAAGGCCCATATAAACCTACTGACGCATAGAAAATATAAATTTAAAGCAATTTTTTGGTAAACATCAACTAAAATGACAATTCTTCACACTCCCCCGCAGTTGATTTTATTTTTGACAGATCTCATACATCACGCCATGACTAAGGTTCTCTTTTCTCACCTCGAATCCGGGTTAATATAACGAATACAAGAAGGAGAAATAGACAAGGTAATATATTAACCAGAGGACAAGATATTCACAATACATTCGTCAGTCTGCTGACCGGGATTTTGTCCTACCTGAACTTTCAGGTGAGTACAATACCTATATAATATATATGTATGTCACGGACACTGTTGTGAATGTTCGGTTCACTTACGTATGAGAAAAGTAAATCTGCTTTCGGTTCACTTATGTATGAGAAAGGTAAATCTGTTTTTCAGGAGTGTTTCAACACAAGTAAAACGGAAGAAAAGCGGGATAAAGAGAAAAAAAAATGTATAAAAGTTTGTTTGGATTTCAGATCTTGTTTTGCAGCTCCAATGGATTTGTTGCAAAAAGATGTACATGTATGTTTATTTTTATATCTAAATAAATTATTAAGAGAACTTATATGACAAATATTTGGTCATTTGATTCGTTTATCACTCTTAGCAAGCCGACACTGCTCCCCCAATTAAAATTAATCAACCATGATTACAATGTATATATCAATTATTTTATTATTCAAAATCAAAAGACAGGATTTTCATTTTAAACACTATAAATCATTTAAATTTTAAAACCATCACCGTATCAGTAACGAAACATAGATTAAAAGTTTTCTTTTTCACAGATGAATTACTTCATCAGAAAAATAGTATAATCGACAATTCAATCAAATTACACCTTTAAAGTACATGTCATAAAAATAAAGGAGAAGTAAAAGGATAAAAACTGAAAATTTATCTTAACCGAAGTTTCATTTTATGTTAATCGATCGACTATATTTCAGCTGTAACTACTTTTTGCCTTGCTAGATGTTTGATAAAAATTATGCTACTGTTTGATAAACTGATGAAAAATGACAAATGTATAAAAATAACTGCTTATTGAGATGTTGTACTCCACGCTTATAGATATCACAATAATCATAACTCGGATCTGTATTTGTCAAGGTAAAACACAAGATTACATCGCCCGAACCACTCATAGTTGGAATATGTGCACAAACAACATTTGATTACTAAAGCAATTAGGCAAGGTGCCATAGAATTTATGAAGCAAAGAATTGTACAGCATAGACGTAAACGACAAGCTCCGATGAGGCATTTCCGACACTGTGAGGTCGATATAAACAGACAGGACATTCATGGAAAAGTTAAAAGTATGAGTGTGATAGAGTGTCACACACGGTAAAAGAGGAAAGGAAATGGTCACTTCTAAATTCATGTACCTATACTTCAATTAATGGAGGCTTCGTTTACAAGTAATTTCATAAAAAACACATGACAGCAATATCGATGAAATTGAAGTAAACAACCACTGAGAAAGCTATGTAAGCAATGTTGTGTATGATAAAAATTGCACTAAAACTTCTTACTAGATTTGAATATTTGGGTTTCTGCATAAAGAATAGCAATGAAGTTAACTAAGAGTACATTTTATCATTTTAAAGCCTATTTCTGAGACTTTGGGTTATTCAATCTTTAATTACTAATAACAAATATAAGCGTCCGAATTAGTTTTGTTTTTAGGGGTATAATGGTTTCTACCAATAAAGAGTTTCGCTAGAAGTTAAAACCTTCTTTTCAAGTGAAAGGAAAATCGTTTTGGCTCAAACACTCTAAATTTTCAGAAATTCTGTTCTTTATCGACAGATAATCAAAAGATCTGTAACAAAGTTTTGTTTTCTTCCAAAGGCTGAAGTTTCAGATAAAACATTAAACTGTTGTAGTTGTTTATAAACTTGCCCTGCCGGTAACGACCGTCGTGTGCTCCTTGCCATGATCCGGAATAACTGAAAAACTCGTCGTTCAATTCAATGTGTAAATAACGGCCTAACAATTAGTATAAAAAACGCCAGTCAGCATTTGACTTACTGATAGAGTATTTGCTGACAAGGTCATTGTATCGACCGTAAAACTTGCAAAACGATGACTTTAAACGAGTCTGCTAATACTCTTGCTTCATCAACTTATTTGTCAATAACATCTCATTGAAGAATATTTTTTCATACGTAGACCATGCTCTTAATCCGATATAAACAATCGGAAATAGATTAAATTCCATATAACTTGATCAGTGTGATTATTGAGTCTGATCTGAGGGGTCATCATTGTTCGTAAAGGACCAGCTTTCGTTTATTTCGTATGAAACAAATGCCCATGAGCTAACCTCCTCAGGAACAATTAATCGTGAAGAGGACTTATATAGGTTATGTCTGCTGTCTAATCCATTTATGTATTCATTACATGATAAAATATGTTCAAATCAACAATTATTGACAACGTATTGAATCATTGAATCTACCTATGAAAGATTTTTCCATGACATTTTATTTCGAACTAGTAAAATGTTTGTTCTTTAAAATCATTTCACAATTTCAAGATTCAATAACCTTTTTAAGTGATCCATTTTATTTTTAACGAAAACACAATCAATGAAAAAACTTAAAGATAACAAAGTGATCGATCTCAAAAAAATTTATAAACAATGCACATTTATACTCTACTATGTTCTGTTTTGTGAATTACCTCAGGCTATTAACTCTAAGTGTAATAAATGTATAGAACACGTTATAATTATAATAGGAATCATAAATATTAATATTTATAAATATTGAGATCCCACAAAACTCATAAAATATATGGATAAAACGAACAAGCGCAAAACTCAAAAATTCAAATCATAAGCAAGCAACAATTCCAATATATAGGTGCCAAGAGAGGGAAACGAAATTACTCTGATATGCAATACACAGTCTTGAAAATGCAGCTGTATATCTAATCTTAGTCTAATATCTCAATGGTTTCTCCACAATAACGCAAAGTTGAATTTGGTCAAATAAAAAAAAAAACAACCAAATTTCATTTTATCAAAATTCCAAACGTTGACATCAAAAAGACAACAATGCTAGTGCTAAATATAATAACAGAGTGACGGAGGAAAATAAAGCCTTAATTTCTCTAAAGTTTACTGATATTAATATTGTAGATACATGTTATTACGTTGAGTCACAAATTATATCTCCCAATATTGTTCTTGCATGCCATCGCTTGGGTCAAGTCTTATCAAATTCCATCCCCGACATCTTGGGGTATTAGATGATTCCAAGCCTGTTGTTATGAAAGAAATATAAACGAGCATTTTGGGAGCATTGCTGAAGTACATCATGTGTCTAATGACTTCTCAAAATGTTAGCAATGCAAACATTCTAGGCATACTGAATGTGAACTTTCTGATTCTGTGAAAACACAATGTCCTATCTTCTTTAGACATGAATAAGTACTCTTTGTTACCATGCCCTTCAATATCATTTAACAAGCATACCATAAACAAATGTCTATTGATACTTTTTGGCATTAAATGATACAAGAATAGAAACCCTCAAAATGTGAATAGCTGATAAAAATTTAATGCATGTTTAATTTTTGGAACAAAACACGAAAGATATAATGACGAGAAATCACACAGAAAGTGTCAGAAGTTACAAGTCTTAATCAGGAATATTAAATTTTGTCTTGTTATCTTTAAATATATAATCCTTTTTTAAAAAAAGCAAATTCACTTGATAACGCACCAAAAGTAAAACTGAAATTTTATTATATGTCTAACTTACAAAAACAAATACAAATCTCTACTTCTTTCCACAACCACATTATTTTGTTATATAAAAACGTTATCTTAAAGTTAATTTGTTAAAATATCTTCCAAGTTCCTGGTAGAGAAGTTTTCCACAAAATTAAAAAAAAGTTCATTATGTAGTGTTAACACGTTCAAAAATAATAGGTTGGGATGAATCCCCCCCCTCAAAGTGTTATAAAATATATGTAAAGTTCTAAATATATTTTACTAGTACTGTACTTACAAAATTAATTTTCATTAATTGTATGCTTCTTTATCCAAAGAGATTCATGCAGGTTGTGTTAATAACGAAAGATACGATTACGTTTGGTTTTTAGCATTGAACACACATTTTTAAAAATATGAATTATATGCAGTTATACTTCAAAGAAAAATAGATATAAAATATATTAAGGGTGGTTGCTTATTTTCGATTCATGTTTTTTTCTCTTAATTCTGAAACATTTTATGATCATTCAATAATATAAAGAAAATTTATATATTAATTGTCATGGGATCTCAATATTTGTCAACTGGTAATTGTAATTCTTTTAAAATAATAAGCATATATTTATAAGTAATAAAAATTGTATTTTTTCCCCCAGAAATGTATTAAGTTGTGGAATGAAGTTTATTGAGGTAACGAACAGTATTTAAGCTCATAAGTCCATTCAAACAATGCAAATCGCGCGCAGAGTAAACACGGACCTCTAAAACAGAGGTGTGACCAGGTGTCACGAAGGAGAAAGCATCCTCTAATAGACTGAAGTTGATCCCAGGACAGAACATAGCAGAATATGCATTTTTTTTTGCTTTTATATATATATATATATATATATATATATATATATATATATATATATATATATATATATATATATATATATAAACATAATAAGTTATCGCCACCCTATTAATCGATTTTGAGTTTTCCTAAAAATGGAACGCTCCAATTCATAATAAACCAAGGATAGCAATTCAAAAAATATAATTATACCATGTACCTAAAACTAATGAAATGATTTTGGACAAACATTTTACTGGATCATTGAAACAAAATTTCATAGAAAACTCTTTTATATGGTCGATTCAATGATTCAATACATTACCAATTATTGTTAATGAGGAAGTTAGCACAGAGGTAAGTGCTACCCATTAAAGCAACAAACACAATAATGATTCCAAAGAATAGGCTAATCACATTGTTCAAATAATATGTTATCTTTTTCCGATTTATAATAAATTGAATTTAATCTATTAACATTTCAATATATCTTATTACTTCTTTTTTTTTTATAATAGGTCTTAATCAAAATACTATTACCTTATTTATTTAAGCTTCAAGTTAATGAACTATACACTAGTATATGTTGGACTTAATGAGTCATTGTAAGAAGCAATCTAATTAAGATTTGATGTTTGAAAAAAGTTCTAAATTAAAGATTTGCAAGTAAACAAGATACCCAAGAGCCACAAATCACAGCTGAATTTTTCAGGTACTGATTTCTTTTTGCTATTAAATCCAGACGTCATATTGTTTCCACAACATACCTTTAAAAGGTTCAAGACGTTAAAGATGTTCAAATAAAGTTTAATCCAAGTTAGGGTTGCAGTATTTATCAATAAGAAGGAGAGCAAAAAACACCCAGGGACGTTTCGTTTTTAACGCACCGTAGATTTTGTTGATAATGTAAAATTATGAATGCAACGTTTGGGAATATTTGGAAATACAGGAAGCAGACTTCAACAAAAAAAAATCTGGTGTTATACATATGACTGAACCTTTAAAAAAAATTAAGAATGTTGCTAATATTTAAAGCATCCATTTTTTAATGCAAATTTAAGCTTAAGGAAAAGACACGTCAGGTTGATTCTGAATAGTCATGTTTCTTATATAATTACGGTTTAAAGAGCATGTGTTGCACTTCTTGGGACACATCCATAATAAAAAAACAAATCATTAGTCTGTATTCTGGAGTTGAAGAATCTAAGTTTGGACTTGTAAAATCTTGACATTGGACTTGAGAAGATGATTTTATGCCACAAGAGTTGACTTATCCGTCATAATCTCCTCTTAAAGGAGGGCATGGCTCTTCATTTGAATTTGACTCTCCACCACCCAAGGCCGCCTTTTTACAAGTTTGAAATTGTCTCCGAAATTATTAAGAGGTGATGTTGAAAAAAAAAAAATGATGACAAATATTGTTCAGATTTTGCTCAGAAAAGCTCAACTGAACCCTTTGGTTGAGGTGAACTTAAATCAAACAAAGCTTTTTGAATGAAAATAAATGTTATACATGTATAAGAGATACGTGTTTTAAATAATAAAACCATCTTATGTTGTGGAAGAATGGCTGAAAGCAAGGAGTTCAAAGAAGGTTAAAAGACCACAGTATTTAGCAGTAACGACCTATCCTCCACCGAGTATAAGATTACTCCATATTTGACGACCAATGCCTTTACATACATTGTAAGATAACCAATCCTCCTCGTCAGTTCTCGAACTCTAACAGACGATTGCTATTTTATGTCATGCAATATAGAGAAAACATGACTTATAGACATTTCAGAAAAATTTCCACTCATTAATTAAGAGAGGAAATGTGTAATAAACAGATAGTAAGTGATGGCATAAGGTGGACATGACAAACTCAATGTAACCGTTAATTAAGTTGACGTTAGGTGATAATTTTAAAATCCAAATCCTG